AACCTAATAGAGATCATGTAACCCAAACAGAGCCTAATAATAAGATAAATGGCATATTGCCATTATTGCGCAAGCAGACAAGCAAAAGTAGTTCAATCCAGGGGAACACTTTATCTATTCCCACATCCAAAAGTTGAACCAGCTTAGAATCTTCCAAAACAGCACGACACAAGATTCACAAAACACAATAAGTAAACATCCTTTCCACCTTTGGCATCAGTTGCACAATAATTAAAACTATAAAAGGCAAACACCCCCCTTTTTGATCAGATACAACTCTCTGTCTATCTATGTTTTCTTTTTCTGAAATTTACCAAAAATGGGCTCACTAACAACATCAGATGGATAGCGATTTGGGTCCATAAGGGGCTTTGTCAATTTACACCCTGCTCCTTTGCCTAAAGAGGCATTGCAAAATTGACAAAGCCCCCTATGGAGAACAAGGAAGCAAAGTTTATGTACAAAGATTCAGTTGCAGAAACAGAATTTACAAGTGGCTGAAAATGTAGCCAACATTTTCTATTACAAAATATAAGCACCGGACTAAGAGGTAATACAAGGGAAGAACAATCACACACACACACACACACACACACACACACACACACACACAAAATATAAGCATTTTTTCGAAACGGGTGTTAGCATATATTCAAATGCGCACCATAACAACTTGGCAATTTGAGCATCACCACATACATATACTCTCTTCAACCTGAAAGAGTATCGAATCAAGCATTGATTTTCCATGAAACCACATAACAGTGAGGACTTCTAGGTCATATCTTTATATGCATCAACAAAGAATCTAGTGGATCAAATTCACACATAGGGTAGCTCACGAGGATACAGACATTTAAACCTTTAAGAAGAACTGGCACAATCAACATCATTTAGATGAAAGGAGGAGCATTCACGACATAAACCTAGTGTCAGGAAAGAACCCCTCTCTAAACCCTAGAACACTAGGCACCGCCGCCGCCACCACTGCTCCAGGGGGGCAGCCAAGAATTGAAACCCAAGTTTCAATTATATGTGCTAAAAGCCTCTACTTCTCTAGCTACTTCTCTCTACTCATAAGTTTCAGTGAGCAACAAAAAGCCTCTACTTCTCTCACCTAACCCTCTCTCTACTCTCTCCCTAATCACGCGAGGAAACAAGCCTGGAACACGTCGCATCGAAGCGCGGAGCCACTGTGCAATCCCTAAATCCCAAAACATGGCGAGCCTCCGAGGCAAATCGATTGGAGCCTAGCTAGTGTGGCGCGCGCAGGAAGGAGGAGATCGAGGGGGACTTACGGGGCTGGAGCGTCAGAGGAGGCGAGAGGCGACCGCGCGTGGTGGTGGCGCACGGCACCGTCGACGGGGGTGAGGCGGCCGGGGACGAATCCTAACTGCGGCGGCATCGTCGGGCGGAGGGGATCAATTGTGAGAGTGAGTGGGTTTGGGGGCGCTCGGGCCAGTTTTCTTTTCCTCTAGTAGTAGCGCTGGTTAGAGGCCAGTGCTACTGCTAAGCCCACCAGTTGTAGCGCCTGTTCAAAACAAACACTACAGGTAAGTGGGCTACTATTTTTGCCCTGCGGCCCATGTAACAGTAGCGCGGCCCAAGCTAACAAACACTGTTGTTATTCATTAGTAGTAGCGCGTTTTCTGCCACGCGCTACTGGTAAATACTAGTAGCGTGGGGTCATAAACATGCGCTACTGGTAAACTTCTATCTATAAGCATTTTCCTAGTAGTGACTAGTCCCGCTTGCAATGTCGAGCTCCGAGACGAAGCCCCCAAGAGGGAAAATGGCACACCAAAGCCGCCGTCGTCCTATCACAAATCAAGTGTTTCCACTAGAGAGGCCACAATGGTCGGATCCGTGTGGGAGGGGTGCAATAGCAAATCAGTGGTGCCTCCAGGGAGGTTGACGGCGGCCAAAGCCGCCACTATCGCTAGTCACAACACAAGGCCGAGACAGGGTCTTCACCCATGCTCCCACACCACCTCGGTCGCACATCATCCCGCACCGAGGTTGGCAAGCTCACCACCCGCCGCCACCATCGGAGCTGCCCATCGACGAAGAGGTGACGAGACCGCTGCGGCCAGCTGCACCTCATAGAGCCCACCGGCGGCCAACCTCCAGCACGAGGGCCCATCACATCACCCCTGCCGCCACTACTGAACAAGCACATCACATCCAACATGGCCACCCACACCTCGTGGAGACCATCGTCAGCCCACCCGCCACGCAGGTCAGCATATCCATCGTGCCGTACCGAGCACCACGCTAGCAAGGCACGGAGGAGCGCCACCAGAGGCCATGGACCACCAGGTCCCTGGCCATAGCCCAAACGCCCACCGGCAACAACAGGAGCAAGCACCTCGCAACGAGCCATCTCCCAGAGCCGTACCGGGCCTCCGAGCACACCACGGTAGTAGTAGACCATTGCACCACTCCGCCCAAGACCCATGATGCCCATGCCGCGCCCAATTCGTGCACGCTGCACCTCCCAGCATGGCTACACAGCCGCCCAACACGGCTACCCCGTGCCAGCTCGCAACAGCGCGAGATCCACGGGTCGCCCCACACATGGTCGTGTCGTGCGCCATGGCCACCTTGGGCCGCCCGGTGTAAGAGAACATCGACGCCATCCCTAGCTGCCGGCCTGATGCGCCCCACTGAGTCGCTCGCCTCCACAAGGCCGGCTGTCCCGCGCCGCCTGGATGCCCGGGTGGGAGGGAAGAGTCCCACCGCCGCTGACGTACGCTCGGGCTTTGACCAGCAGCGTTCCCTGGCGACGGAGAGGGAGGGGAGGCGAGGTAGGATGTGCCGGCGGCAAGGAGCTAGGGTTGCACCCGGGCCGCTCGTGGGAGCGATACGGGGCCGGGTAGGTCCGTCTTTGTGATGAACTTTCTATACATTACAATCTTGAAATTGTCCGAAAGGAAAGGTAAAAGAGCTGAGAACCAAAGCCATCAAATAAACAGTAACAGGTCGAAGTTGACAGTAAACTTTCTTGCTTGCCGAAGAGATCTTTGTTTTTACCTTTTCTTAATGTCTCCCGCCTTAGATGATCTGTATACTTCGTTTGCTACTCGTTCTAACAGCTTTACTTCCAGCATCATCACCTTTATCTGCAAAATGGAAATGATCTCTTCGGCAAATGATCCAAAAGCAAATCAGCTTTATAATACTTATTGGATCATTATACAGAATGTTGGATGAGTATCATGAAAATGAGGATTTGGCAGAACATTTTTTTTCAAAAGCATACAAATTACGTGTTTTAACTCCATACTCCCTCCGTTTGGAATATTTGTCCTAAAAATGATTGTATCTAGACTTATTTTAGTTATAGATACATACATTTTACCCATTTTCAGGACAAGTATTTCCGGATGGAGGGAGTAGAAGGCATAGTGTAAATTATAAAATACTCAGACAAACTCTCACCCGTGATGAACGGGAGAAAATACTTTTTCCATGCCAAAATAAATGTCTCGAGCTCAGTACAATTTTATATTAGAGTTAATACAGAGTTGAGATATTTATTTTAAAACAGAGGGAGTAGGATGCAAGATCAGAAGAGAGTATCCACTAGACATGGCCGTACAAAAACCGTTTGACTCGACCGTTTACTGTATGCTACGCACTCCACTATTTGCCCGGTCAGTCGGAGGTCATCACGCGTGCACACGCAATGCAAAGTCTCTCCTACGTGTGCGTTCCACTGGCGCCGTTCGTCGTCAACATGAGCACCCTGCTCTGGTCAAACCGCACGCGCTCTACTTATATTCTCCCGACGCCACCAGCTCCATCTCCATCCTCCACCAACCATGGCCGCGTACCGCTCCCTGCTGGTGGCCTTGCTCCTCGCGCTCTCCTCCTCCTCGTCGGCGTCGGCGGCGACCCCGTATGGCTTCGAGTTCCCGCAGTTCAACGCCCCCGTCGCCGACGCCGGCTGCGACGGCAAGCTGGTCGCCGAGGAGGAGGCGCTCGCGCGCCGGGTCCCGCCGCTCAAGCTCCACATGACCCATCGCTCCGCCGCCGCGGGCGCGACGGGGACGGGCGCCTTCTTCCTCGACTCGGCCGAGAAAGACGCCGTCCGTATCGATACGATGCATAGGAGAGTCGCCCTGTCTGGCTCCGGCGCGGCCCAGCGGGGCTCGGGGCCAAGAAGGGCGTTGTCGGAGCGGGTCGTGGCCACGGTGGAGTCCGGCGTGGCGGTCGGCTCGGGGGAGTACCTGGTGGACGTGTACGTGGGCACGCCGCCCCGCCGGTTCCGGATGATCATGGACACGGGAAGTGACCTCAACTGGGTGCAGTGCGCGCCCTGCCTCGACTGCTTCGAGCAGAGCGGGCCCGTCTTCGACCCGGCGGCGTCCACCTCCTACCGCAACGTCACCTGCGGCGACGCGCGCTGCGGCCTCGTCTCGCCGCCGGAGACAGCGGCGCCCAGGGAGTGCCGCAGGCCACGGACCGACCCCTGCCCGTACTACTACTGGTACGGCGACCAGTCCAACACCACCGGCGACCTCGCCCTCGAGGCCTTCACCGTCAACCTCACGGGCGCCGCCGGGACCCGGCGCGTGGACGGCGTGGCGTTCGGGTGCGGCCACCGCAACCGCGGCCTCTTCCACGGCGCGGCGGGGCTGCTGGGGCTCGGGCGCGGCCCGCTGTCGTTCGCGTCGCAGCTGCGCGGCGTCTACGGGGGGCACGCCTTCTCCTACTGCCTCGTGGAGCACGGCAGCGCGGCCGGGAGCAAGGTCATCTTCGGCCACGACGACGCGCTGCTCGCGCACCCGCGGCTCAACTACACGGCCTTCGCGCCGGCCACGGGCACGGACACCTTCTACTACCTCCAGCTCAAGTCCGTCCTCGTGGGCGGGGAGGCGGTCAACATCCCGTCCGACACCCTGGCCGCCGGCGGCACCATCATCGACTCCGGCACGACGCTGAGCTACTTCCCGGAGCCGGCGTACCGGGCGATCCGGCAGGCGTTCATCGACCGCATGAGCCCGTCCTACCCGCTCATCCCGGGGTTCCCGGTGCTGAGCCCGTGCTACAACGTGTCCGGGGCCGGAAAGATCGAGGTGCCGGAGCTGTCGCTGGCGTTCGCGGACGGCGCGGCGTGGGAGTTCCCGGCGGAGAACTACTTCATCCGGCTGGAGCCGGAGGGCATCATGTGCCTGGCCGTCCTGGGCACGCCGCGCTCCGGCATGTCCATCATCGGCAACTACCAGCAGCAGAACTTCCACGTCCTCTACGACCTGGAGCTCAACCGGCTCGGCTTCGCGCCGCGCCGGTGCGCCGACGTCTAGGCCGGCCGGCCGGCCACCGTCCATCATCCATTATTCCATTTTGACTGATTGGTCGGCCGGTTGTGCTCCATGTAGTACGTAGGTAGGCAAAAAGTGGCCGTGCTAACCGTATCGGAAGAACGAACGAGCAAAGTGGGGTTGGGTGTAGCAATTTTGGCACCGGGTTTTCGTACCTTATTACGAAGCCGCGTACGTAGGTGGCTGCTAACGCTTTGGTTATTTATTTTTTTGCAAGACTTTGGGTCTTGTGTTCATATGTACTGCTCCAGATGGAGTGCTCTGTTTAGAGTAGATTACTGCTCATTTTGTCTTAGATGATCTTGAAATGGACATAGATGTAAATAATGTTGTTGAAATTGCACATCGTGTGTTGCAGAAATGTCTTTTGAGTCGTGCTCGTCGTGAGGATGACGGGTCGGTTTCGTTATTTCCGTGGTCGGCATTCCACGTTCAAAGCAAAGGAACGCGTTTGCGTGCTTGCCGCTGCTTTATCCGGAAAGGGGCATGAAAACAACAACGATCCTAAGCTGGACCGATCGACGCGGTCCACAAGCAAACTCGAACCGTTGATTGCAATTTTTGTTGGTAGCTTATCAAGCTGACCGTCTGATAGCAAACTCCAACAAATTGTACGTTTCACAAGTCAAACGAGCGAGCGTGTAAATAATTTTTCTTTTTCAACTTTTTTTTTTCACCGGCAAAACCAACAAGGCTCCTTCTTCACCGGCATCACCTGCCGCACCGTCAGTTGATCCTCGTAATTGATGAACGCTGCAACATCAGTATGGGGCTCGATCCTTGGGAGCGCTCTGCTCTCAACACCGATCCCAGCCAGTGGTTCGTGTCGTACTCCATCTCCTATAATTCCTCCGCTCAGGCCAGGTGATGGTAGTACAAAAAGGATCTATTGTCCCGGTTCGTGGTCATTTATCCCGGTTTTTGAACTGGGACTAAAGTGTCGGTACTAATGCCCTAAATCTTTAGTCCCAGTTCTTACATAAACTGGGACAGATGGGCCTCCACGTGGCCGGTGCGGCGAGCCCAGGCAGGAGGCCCTTTGGTCCCGGTTGGGACCAATAGGCATCCACGCATCAGGATTTCAGGTGCTGAGGTTTTTGTTTTTTGTTTTTGAAAGGGAGGGGGGTTTGGGGGGTTAATTTAGGTGTTTCATATATTGTGTTAGCTAGCTAATTAATAGAGAGAAGTGTCCTCTCTTATCTCCGTGCTTGGTCGACGCTACGTACTATATGTATAGAGAGGACTAGACATGCTAGCTAGTAAGCAAATGAAGGAAACAGAAGATCGTCGTGAACAGATGCATACAAAGAAAAGTGATATCGACCACCTCTCCTTCTTTGAGAGATTGGTCGAACAACAAGTTCTCGTATATCTATCCGACGCTACTGGCTACATATATACAATATAAATATCTTTTACAATATAATCTCCTAATTAAAATCGAACGCATCAGGGTCCACATGGTATTCTCCGTCTTTAGCGATCACGTGGTCAAGAAAGAATGCCTTCAATTCCTCTTGAATTTCTAGCATACGATCTGGTGGTAGGAGTTCATCTCGCATCCGAAATATCTAATTTGAAGAAGGGGATCAATACATATATATATATGATTAAATGAAAATGAACACAAATGATGGTAATAAAATAAAATTGTGAATATTATTATTTACGTACTTCATATTGTTTGTCAGAGTAGCCCTGCTCACAGGTCGTGTGGCGGATGGACTCGCAAATGTAGTATCCACAGTCATCATTCTCTTGTTCCTGCCACAACCAATTTACAAGAAATAGAGGTCAATCAAACTCATAATTATCAAGCATGCTAAATGGTATTGATGAAACTAGCGCTTGAATCACTAGGAGATGCGTGGAACATGCTACTATAGTACTTACTTTCGAGTGTCTAAATTGCAGCTTCTTCGGCAGTCCCGGAGTTTTTGAGGTGAATTTTTTCCAAACCCCGTCAGACAAAGAAAACTATTACTTGATATCAGGAAATGAACAAAGTTGCCGATATGGTGCGATAATGATCGATTTAACTTACTTCTCTAGAATTTCAGTCATCTCCGCATACTCCTTGGGATCTTTTTGTCTCGACTCTAAGACGGTTACTAGTCTCTGCTCAAGCTTAATCTCTAGGAGAATATAGTGGAACCTGCGCACGCATGCATAACTCATCAATTATATTACTATAACCTTGACTAATAAGGAAAACCGAATATGCACAAGACAGTAATACTCACTTGAATTCGTAAGGAAAGAGTATTATACCTTTGTTTTGATTTAATACAAACGATTGTAGCAGCTTGGCCTCGGTATCTTTGGCCTGAAATTCAACCATATATGCATCTATGAGATTTGTGTTAATGAACCCAATATCACTGATTTGTCTTTTCTTCAATTCGGCGATCTTCAATCTGCATAATATAGTGAGGATAATTAAAAAAACATGCAATGAAAGAGCTGACCTATATATAGAGACTTAATGACAGAAGTAGTACTACTTACAGGCAGTAGCAAGTGATCATCAATTTATCGAGGGCCTTTAGATTGAAAAACGCGAAGAACTCCTCAAATTGAACATTCAACAGTTCAATTCCAACGAGGTCATGCTCCTCTCTAACTCTCAGCGTCAAAATATCCTCCCCCCAGACTTTCTGCAGGTTTTCATGTACCAATCATGGAATCTTCGCATCATCGTTGTTAGAGATCTTTAATCTTTGACGAGAGGCTTCCCGTACACGTCTTTGTGTTCGTCCACCTCCAAGAAATCGAAATGTGCATATTCGGGCAGGTAATCTCCAAGATCGTTATAACCGGGCACCATTGTCCCGTCCGGATGATTCGCGACGACGCTAGACACCTGGAGCGGGGGCAACAATTGGTTCGCTTGTTCACCGAGCTGGGCAACTTTTTTCCCAGCTCGTCGTTCTGCTAACCTTTGACCACTGACAGTACTCCCCGACCGCGACGCTTCGATAAATGACTTTGTAAGAATGCGCTCATAGTTGTCTTTTGCCGGAGAGTTTGGTGGTTTCTTCAGGGCAGCCAGAGTATGCTTCGCTTTTACCGGATCTATCTTCTCCTCTGGAGGTGGATGTTTCTTTGCTTTCACCCCTTCAAAGAAGTTCTTCACTCCGGCTTGCACGATCTGCGTGTTTTCCTCCACGGTCCTCTCGTATGGTAACCTCTCTGGAGTCTTCAGAGAAGGACCGAATCTGTATTGCCTCCCGACTCTGGCTGTACTGCTAGACGACGGAGCAGACGGAGCGGCTACGGCTGTCTTTCCTTTCTTACGAGGCGGAGGAGAAGGACTACGACGCGCCGGAGCAGCCGGAGCGGCGGCGGGTCTCTTGATCCGCCCTTGTTGACGAGGCGAAGAAGGAGGAGGTTGGCTGCTCGGGCGCGCCGGCGCAGGCGGAGAAGGAGGCGGAGTGCCGCCACACGCCGGAGAAGGAGGCTGAGTGCCCTGATCAATCACCGGAGGAGGAGGCGGAGGAGGAGGCGGATTGCCCTGACTCGCCGGAGGGGGAGGAGGAGGCGGAGGCGTCCAGTTCGGAAGGTTGATGAGCTCCTTCTGCCATAGTCATGGAGTCTTCAGAGAAGAACCCAGCCGAATCTCCCCTTCACCCGTAGGGTGGTCAAGCCGAAGGTCCTCAAATCCGTCCGTTATTTGATCCACCATCACCCTAGCATATCCTTTTGGAATCGGCTGGCCGTGGTAGGTTGCGTCAGGTTCATTAGGTATAACAAAGCCAACAGCCGCCTTGACTTTCAATGTCATCCATCGCGTCATAAGGTGGCAATGTTGAGACTCCGTGATAGCATCCACGGGGTAGCTAGCAGGAGCCGTGAAGACTGGCTCCAGCTGCTGAGTCTGCTCGGTGGAAGCCATGCTGCTTCTCCGTTGAGATGGCGAGGTAGCTTCAGGGGAAGATTCGGCAGGTCGTTTGCTGCGATCTGCTTCTCGTTCCTCTAGCCCTTGTACCCTTTCGTGCAGCGCCTGCAGTTGGCTATGCTCCACTTTCTTCCTCCTCTCCTGGGTTTTGTAACCCCATGTGTCCAGAAAGCCAGCCTTCCACGAAACGGAGCCTGGCGTGCTTCGTGTCCGTCCAGGGTGCTCAGGATTCCCGAGGGCCATTGTGAGCTCATCCTTCTCTTTGTCTGGGACGAACGTCCCTTGCTGCGCTTTCTCGATATACTCCTGAAGCCTTGTGACGGGTATTCTCAGTTGCTCTTCCGTCCAAACGCACTTCCCTGTTACAGGGTACAAGGTTCCGCCAACTCCGAAGAACCAAGTCCGGCAACGGTCTGGCCAATTCAATGTCTCTGGTTCGACCCCTTTAGCAATCAGGTCATTCTCAGCCTTGTCCCACAAAGGTCGGGCTTTGAGGTAGCCACCTGACCCCGTGCAATGGTGATGCTTCTTCTTCGGAGCATTTTTCTTGTTTATCGCTGACATCTTCTTACTCTTTTCCGATGTCTTATGGGCCACAAATGCAGGCCAGCGATCTCTGATCTTCTCATACTTTCCGGTGAATTCTGGTGTCAAATCTTCGTCGACAAACTCTGTTTTCAGCTCATTCTGCCACCTCCTAAATAGTTCTACCATCTTCTTAAGAGCATGATACTTGATCAATTGCTCTTTAACTGGCTTCTCCGGATCACCCTCTAGCGGTAGGGTGAAATTTGCCTTAAGCGATGTCCAAAGATCTTGTTTCTGCATATCGGAGACATAGGACACCTCAGGGTCTTCCTTCTTAGGCTTTAACCATTGCTGGATACTAATCGGGATCTTGTCCCTAACAAGAACCCCGCACTGAGCACGAAATGCATCCCTTGTCCGGATGGGTTCAATCGGCTTGGCATCGCGTGCGATTGCTGTGATCTCAAACCTTTCATCTGAGCGCAACTTTTTCTTCGGGCCTCGTTTCTTTACTGAAGTTGTGCTCGATCCGGAGGGCTAGAGAAAAGAAGAAAGA